ATGGAATCGTTTAGATGTATGGTTCCCGTGCTTTTCCTCTTTTTCAAACAAGCAACGGTTGTCGCCATAGAAATATGGATTGAGAAACGACTGTTAGTTTTGAAAACAGAATAGATGATTGGCCGTCGATCATCGGACGATCGCATGGACCTCCAATAGGACTACGAAGTGCTCCTTGGTCAATCAGCGCTATCTTCATTCCATATAAAGAGATTAAGTTTAAACGGGAAAGTTAAGTTCGCCTAAGTTTGTTTTCGCCCTGCCAAGGTGTGGCCGAGTTAACCAGAATGCCGGGTTATCGAGTGCCGAGTTTTCGAGACTCTACTGTATAACTATAGATATGTTTTTGAATATTGTTTCAATGAATTTAATAGTACAGCGCTTTGCAGATTTAGAAAATATTGATATCCCAGAATGGATTATGATGCCATTTTCCACTCAAATTGAAAACGTCGACATCAACTTGCAAGATGAACTTATTGAATTATTAGTTGACCTTGAAGCAAAAATGCTTTTTAAAAATTTAAATTTGAGCAATTTCTGAACGAATATAAATGTAACACAAAAATACACAAAACTTTGTAATACGGTAAATCCTTTTTTGCTGGCATCTCCAAGTTCGTATATGGTTGAAGCTGATTTCAGCCATGATAATTCCATCTTAACCAAACAGAGAAATAAGTTGAATGTGGAACTTTGAGGTGATTTAAGACTAAAACTTACAAGTTTTCAACCAAATATTGCTAATCTTGCTGAGGATCATCAAGCTCACCCTTCTCACTGATTGTCAGTTACAAAAATTATTATTATTATATATGGTAATACCCCAAACTTACGCGATAGGTGGGACCGAGCAATAACTGCATAAGTCGAATTCGCATAAGTCGGGGTATAATTTCGCAATTTGTGTAAAATCCAAGTCAGATGTATGTAAGCTAATAAATGTTCTTGTTAATCTTATCTCGTCTTTCGATTAGTTCATGGTTACAATAAATCACCACATAGAGTCTCTCGAGTCTCCGTAGATATAACAAACACAGAAATAAATAACACAAAATAAATTGTAGCTATGCATCGATTCCGCGCGACATGTCTGAACATGTAAGTCGAACAATAGTGTGGGTGGAGTGAGTAATTGAGAGTTGCGTGGCACTCAAACAAAAGATGAATCGATGAGATTTGAAAATCGCGTAACTCCGGGGTAGCGTAAGTCGAGGTATTACTGTATACAATAAATGTATACAATAGAGCATCGATTATCCGACCCCCGATTAACTGTCACATCGGTTAACCGACCATTCTAGTCGGCAAATTTCAAATGTCCATTAGTGATGTGGCACTACAATATTTGGCTACGTCTTGGCTACTTTAATATAATTTTTGTTAAATTTTTGTGTGTTCTAGCTGGCAACACTGGCTCAACCATGAAAGGGGGGCCAGTATTTAAATGAGATTTAATTTTCTAATTATGAGTGGTTGTTTGTTTTGTGAGCAATAAAATAATTTTAAAATAATTTTTAACGATACAATATTGACAATTATTATTTTTAAAAAAATTGTTAGGCTTAACATCGATGAAAATTCAATGTGAAGTAGGTTAATGATATACTAATTACATTTAACTAATTAATAGCGATATACTAATAAACAAACATCGCTAAACCCAATACATAACATAACTAAACACCAACGATATGCCGAAAATCTCGAACCACAACTCCTGCTTACCGTACAGATGCGTTGCCAGTTACGCTATCTGGACCTCCAGTCCGATCTCCTCTTCCAGCGTATATAAGCTAACTATATAACCATCGACGGTTATTACAACGCCGGCTGGGGACACATTGACGCAATGGCCAGTTGAGTGCCTTATAGGACGTGGGACGTGGGCACTGAATGTGTCACCAGCCGGCGTCGTAATAACCGTCGATGGTTATATAGTTAGCTTATATACGCTGGAAGAGGAGATCGGACTGGAGGTCCAGATAGCGTAACTGGCAACGCATCTGCACGGTAAACAGGAGTTGTGGGTTCGAGTCCCGCTCCGGGCCAAATTTTTTCTCCCAGCAGTTCTAAATTATTTAAATTAATTAATTTATTTATAATTATTAATGTTAATAAGAGATGGTGCCTAACGCTTCCCTCTAAAGCCAAATTGGTAACGTAATTCATTTAATAATTAGCCTTATACTAGCCCGATAGATTTTCGGCATTCGGTTGGTGTGTAGCTTTATTATTATATATCGGGTTTAGCGATGTTTGTATATATTACGCCTTGCCGGGGCCTGCGATGGCTGGTTGAGTGCCTTATAGGACGTGGGACGTGGGCACTGAATGTGTCCCCAGCTGGCGTTATAATAACCGTTGTAAGTTACCTATCTACAGATTTGTTATGAGATCACCAACATGTCTATATATCGCATTTTTGCAAGAGCCATGCATATGAATGTTTATACACACCCTTATTCTTGTTACATCCTTGTGCAATAAAGCTGTTACTCCATGTCGTCCTTGTGAATACGTCTCCATCCTTTCACAGCTAATTCCGATAATCATACATACCATAAAACATTTATCTCGTGTTTTCATGACTGTTGCACAGCTTTCATTTTGACAGCCTACCCAACTGATTTCAGTTAATTTTAGTTTACTTATCAGACAATATTAAAATATAGTTAAATGAATTCTTTGCACACATGATCAAGATGAAGTATCTATTATTTCACTAATATATAGTGTGAGGATCCGAATTCGGACTTTTCGTGTGTTTATATCATTTCACATTGTAGCTATACTTTCATTTGACAACTGTCAACTTTTACACCTGGGAGTTAAACATCTGCTAAGTTCTCAGGCGTAATAATGACGCTTTCTCAGCACCTTTCGACCTAATATCTTCGTTTCAACAATCCAATATGAAAAAACCGACAACAAAGTGGCAGTCGTCGCCCGTCTCCCGAAAAGAGAAGTTGCTTCTAGTACCTTGTCCTAAGTGCCTCACTATTCGGATATCAGAGGCTATATCCTACAAAAAGATCATCGGAACCATAGACTAATACCCTTTCGGATACTGTTCTATCATTCTTACGGATACTTCCTCTACCGGACTGACATTCCGAACTTTCTTCCCTTCACCAAGACTGCTCGAGAATCTCCATCAAGACAGCAAAAACAAAAGGTATTTATCGCTACGCGAAACTTCTGTAAACTCTCTCTCAAATAGGGGAAAAACGTAATATCTTAATATTATCAAAATGAGAAATGTATCTAACAGCAGTCCTAATGTATAGCCTATCGTTAACCATTAAACAGTTGTTATGTTAAAAAGCGTCTGAGTAAATCACTTCCGGTGTGTTGTCTCTCCTTCTATCTTGACTCTGATCGCTCACACACACGCCCGAACGAAACGGTTTCTGTGTCTAGCCGTGAAAACACAGTGGTGTCAGTCCTGACGAAGCCTGTCATTGCGATCTTCGCCGACCCGATGTTGACCCTTCGGTCACGTGGTGCCGAAGTATAGGGAGGCCCTTCGGCATTGTCACAATAGTATTTATTGTTTTACTATCTACTGGTAAGTTATTAGTTAGTAAAAAATTACAGTGTAAAAATATCCTGACAAAATCTGGCTGTCTAGTTGTTTGTTTTAAAAAATATTTATAACTTTAAAAAATAATGCCAAGGTAATGCAATAAAATTGTATTAAAAATAATTCTCTTATTTTTCTTTGTAACAGCTAACATTGATTATTGTTATTTTTTTGTGATTAAAATTAAAAGGATATTAACATAGACATTTTGCTAATACATAGAATTATAATTAAATGTGTATGCATAAAGTAAAGCAGGAAGTAAATTTGAGTGATAAAATCCAAATGGAACAGACATCTGTGCTAATGATATTTATGCCCTTTTTATATTTTATTGTATTTGTGTAATTGCTATTTGCAAAAATGATTGAAAAATTGGAGAGAAAAATTTATCACTTGCTGTTTACTTTTTTGCTTTTATAGTTATATTTATAACCTGATTGACGTAAATCTTATAGCTAACTGTGGAGCCAGAAGTTTTCTTAAACTTAATAAATTTTTAAAATTATGAATACAATTATATTATCAAAAGTAAATTATAACTGTGATGATAAAATTATATAAAATACTATTCATTTTATCAATGAAAGATTATATTTTAAAAAATGTAATTTTAGACTGTTCTGCAAGAATTTGAATACTTAAGAGAAAAACAAACTTAAAAATTTGTTGAAAAACTATATACTAATTTCTGCTTTATAGGAGTAGAAAAATGTTTTAATATTTCTTTAATACTTTTGAGCTTCAGCCTATCTTCAGGGTTTACATCTACTGTTGAATTTTTATATCTCATTGCATTCAAATAAATCTTTCTTTTGCCCTCCCTGCCAGTTGGTTGGATCCCATAGTAAAGTTAACATTAGTAATCTTTTATCTCTCATCCCTCTCACTTTAAAGAATAATTTTTGTACTTCTGAACTTTTACTACTAATTTTAAACTTTTCTTTTTTATAGTTGTCATTTTCATACACTTGCCAAACTATTTGTGTCTCCATTATTAACCACCTTTTTATTTACTTTTTTTCAAAAGATGTTATGTCATCATCATCATTTACTTTTTCTATTTTTTCCTTCCCACATATATAATATTTTTATAATGGCTTTCTCCACTCAATTTGTATTTATCCGGCCTTTTCTACAGTCATCTATATGTTTCTTTAATCTCACACCTAAGTTTTCTTTGAAGCTTTGAAAGCATTAATTAAATATTCAAGAATATGTTTTCACTCCTATAAACAGAAATTGTATATCAAAAATTGGAAGTTAATATTGGATTTGTTGAAAATAATAAACTTTTAGCTTTAGAAGATATTTAATTAAAATGTATATTACATTTTATATATACATTTATAATATTTTCTGTTGAATATAGTCTTATATATTTTTCTCTAAATTCTTGTTATTAAATTTATAGATGCTCAATTTATTTGTTGCTGTCATTATGGATAATTTTGATTATTTAACAAGAGATTGTTCAATTCTTGGTGCACATCATTTGGATGAATTTATTCGTGTTTGGGCTGAATATGATCCTAATGCAACGTAAGTAGTATAAACAATGTTTAATGTATTTGTAAAATTATTAACTGATGCTCATAATAGTAATATTTGCCATTTCTAAATTTTATCTACTGATGACTTCTGAATAGCTTCAAATGATTGAAATGCTAAGAATTAGTGAAGTCATTATATTGAAAAATTATCAGCTGATACTTGTTTATTTAATGATATAAACAGGGTTGTAGTAAAGAATATATGGTGGTATATATAATATACTTAATGCTTTTCTCAGAAATGTTATATATTTCCTGGATGTACAGGTTTTTGTATAACTAGAAAATATATCATAATAAAGGTGCAGAAAAGTTTTTTATTTCAAATAAGTAAATTATATCTTAATCAGATCATATGCCACTAATGTTCTGGGCTTATTGTGAAGAAAATTGGAATAAAAATGATTTGATAAGACTGAAATTCAATCTTCTCAAAAAATAAATTGAAATGTTATGTATGGAGAAGTTTTCAACATAAAACTATTTTAATGTTTAAAACTATGAATTTGATCAGTTATGCTGAAGGGTTAAAAGTACTAATTAAAATTGTTCAACCGACATCTGTAAATATGTATATAAATGTACTTAGGATGGATCTTTTAAATACTCAGTGGTATGATTTTGACTGGAGTTGGTGCAAAATGTGAAATAAGAAAATTGAAAAATAAGAATTTGAGAATATAGAGAAAGAACCTCACCAATGCTAATTTAAGAATATATTTGAATTTGAAAGGGATTTTACTAGCCTACTAAGGCAAACACCCAGGAACAAACGAAATATTCACAGTAGATGTTAAAAACAATTTATTAATGGATGCCAACTCTAGGGCATATACTCTGGCAGTAACCCCAAAATGTGATAGTTGGCTGGATTATTACAAAATATCACATGTACAAGGAACTCAAGATTATTTATTACCCAAAAATCTTCTTATAATTAATTCTTAAAACTAACTTACACTAAAAAAAAAAAAAAGAAAATAGACGATAGGGGGCAAGAAGTATCAAAGAGGGCTAAAAGAATAGAATAAAGAACTCAGGTTGTATGAACGTCTTTCTGTTCTCATGAGGGGGGCATGTGGAAACTTCCTTCAGCACAATTTGCACTTCCATTCACCTTTCCTTAGTCCAAGAGGGTTTCTATAAATTTCTAGTCCAAGTTGTTGTCAATCTGAGCTCAAAACTCATCAAGTTGAGATGCTGACGTCAACATTGTAATGTCAGTCCAATATATTCAGGAGTCTCTCCTTTTCCACATTGGCTTCACCTGTCTCTCGGGTACTTGGCAACTCTCTTTATTCTCCTTCTTGTCCTCTCTCTATGAGGAGCAGCCAAAAATAAACTCTTTCTTTTTACATGTTCCCACAGGAAACCTTGCATTCATTGTTTGACAATTCCAGGAAGTGATCTTCATGTCTAAGGGGGAAGAGTAATTATAATTGTAAGGGATTCTAGGTGGAAAGAACAAAGGAAATGTGCTAAAGATTACAAACTAAACTTAAATCTAATATGGTGTACAGCCACAAGGGAATTATAAAGATCTGTAGAAAAAAAAATTAGATTTTATCATAAACGTAGTTCTGAACTTAGTCATTCTAGAAATTTTGTTGATTTTGGAGATGTTGAACTATGTTCAAAGGAAATAGTAAGCAGTTGTCTTTGTATGATATAATGGTTAATTTTGTGGTGTATCCCACCATGTATATATGTTTTATTTGCTAATATTCTATGCTATCTGTAATTTCTTCATCTATGTAAATAACCCGCACTATTTTTCCTTGTTTAACTCTTCCAACCTATATGCGCTTTCTGGCTAGTTTTGGGCTGAAATGGGTATCGACTGACAAGGCAGCGTAGGAAGACTTTTCTTCTTTGTTCATTCTTGGAGAAGCAAGCGAAGGGAGAACCACGTGAGGAGAGAAGGGAATGTGTCCGTGCGGTCAGGTAGTATACACTAAATTCATCGTGGTAAATGTCAAAAAATTGCCCAACTCGTTATACAAATAAGGGGGATTTCCTTCTAACATGGCCTTTCTGTATTCTTTTTCTAACTTAGGTTATATTAGTTTTTATTTTAAGTTAAGTTAGTTATAATTAGTATTATAATACGACCCTAACGGATTGTGTACTGGCCGGTTTCGGGACCCAGACACGTAACCGGATACATGAGCTTTGTGAACAAAAAAAAGAAGGAACTGTTTAGATTTATGTACTTCAAAACGGTTAACGTGTAATATTAATATTATGGACGGTTTCGAGATCATGTATTTTGAATAATATGTAGGTTAACTGTAAATAAATAATTTCCTTTATCGTTAATTGAAATTTGTGTTAATACGTGGTGTATTATTTGCATAATATGGTTTTCATTAACCTGTTACACCACAATTTATCTAGTCATTTTGAAAATTTACTAAATGAATTGGTGGAAGATTATGTCATTATTAAATCTTGACTTAAGTTTAGAACTGGATGTTTTGGATGATTTTATATCCAAAGACAAAATACAAAATTTTTTAAAACAAATAAGTCTCTTTACCAGATAAAGAGACCAGATAAATCTCTTGGCTGTGATGGACTTCCAATGGAATGTTGAAAGTTTGCTGAGGAGAGGATGTGGATGAAGCTACAAAAATTTTTAATAACTTTGTCTTTTGGTGAATACCCTCAGAGTGGAAGACATTATGGATAGTTCTGATTTTTAAGAAAGGGGTTTTTCAAAGAATTGTTCAAATTATAGAGCAATTACATTACTATATAGTAAATAAAATTTTTGCTAATGTGCTAACCGAGGGGGCTGAAGCGGAGAGCTTCTCCCCACTTACCGGCTTGGCTGTCAGGAAATGGCTATAGGAGGGCTAAAGGAGTGGGAGGCGTAATGAAGTCGTGATGAGATGTCGGTAGTACTTAACAAGAGTCATTAAATTAGGAATAACATATTTAATATAAACTTAAAAATAATACAAATANCTCCCCACTTACTGGCTTGGCTGTCAGGAAATGGCTATAGGAGGGCTAAAGGAGTGGGAGGCGTAATGAAGTCGTGATGAGATGTCGGTAGTACTTAACAAGAGTCATTAAATTAGGAATAACATATTTAATATAAACTTAAAAATAATACAAATACATTAAAATTACACATTAATTCTAAACAATATGTAAGCGATAATTATAATAAATTCTGAGTTGCGACAATATCGGACAACCGATGTTGTCTATCCCGTAAGTGGGACCATCAAAGGTCCTCAACACAAAATATGACTAAGTCCTATCAAAAGGAACAGATAAATAAGTCTCGAGTATACCGAGAGACAATAATTTCTAAGTTCCGAGTATACCGAGAGAGAGTGAAGTAAAAACAAACTAAGTATTTATTTCTTTAGGTCGGCGATCAGAAACCTTGAAGTTCTTCCAGAGTAGACGCTTGTAGTCTTCTTCCTCCTATGATCGCCTCAAGACCTCCGATCATTCCCCTTTTATACTTTTTTTTAGCGTGGGAAATCTCGGGGACTCCTCTGATGCAATCTGTCACTTCTCCCGATTTATGACAGTCTCCCCCGTCATGGGTGACGACAATGCAGACATCGCTTGACCAATTAATGTTAAATTCGTCATCACCTGGGGAGATGACTGACCATTTTTGGTAATGTTCTCACTGTACGGGTGACCCTTGTAGGTGACCTCTTGTCTACCCTCAATACAGGAACACCCGTCCGTCTCCGTCAACCAGACACCCACAGGAGACTACTCTTTTACAAGGTGTCTGCGGTGTGACCAATTAGCAAAAACAAACAAACGTCCCGGGGAGAGGGGAGTTCTTCCACGGTCGCCTCGGACGACGTCGTCCCAGGGATGACCTTCTTGATGGACGAATTACGCAGTTCATTATCCGGGGTCTATTCCTCGGGTAACGGGGTGAGAACAGGAGAAATAACGGAAATAATGATGAAAGAAATATAACTTGTTACGTATTTAATTAAAATTCTCATACGATAGTCAGATTTTCACACTAATATTTTATACTGTATAACAGATTACACAGTTGCTATTTATTGGCAGCATCATTGCCTCAGTGTTCATATGATTGGTAACACTATTGCCTCAGGGTAGGGGGATATAAAAATGGTGAACAAAGGAACCTGGTCTTTTGTCTGGCCAGCATCTTAGATAAGCAAGTGCAATAAAGACTATTGTAAAGGATCATAGACTTGTTCTTTTCATAGTAGTAAAGACATAATAACAGTAAATCTGGATTGATTCTTCAGGTATTTTATCTGAATTACAAGCTTATTTTGTAAATGCTATTCTGTAATTGATCATCATTTCATATTAAATTATCTTGCATGTAGAAAATTGCAGAAAAAATGTGGAAAGTTATTTGCTATATTTTTTGGTCTTCTGCTTTTGATGTGGTCTAATGATGAGTTGTGCATGTGTCTGATGAAATTTGGTATTAGCAACAAAATGTTAACTGTATTAAGGTCTATATATTGATTACACTGTCTTCAAATAACTGAAACTATAACTACACCACACCACTTGACAAGTATAATCCAATTTTGAGTGCTATGAATGTTGGTCTGACCTAAATAAATGTAACATATCAGTATTAATATAGTACAGGAAATCCTTGTTTGTTCAAAATTCAAGGGACAAAATAGTCGTGACTTTGAATTATCCGAGATTTACAAAAAAATATTTCTGTACAATATGTCAAATGCCATGCATGATGTAATTCATGATGTAATTCATAATGATGTAATTCATGATTTGTAAACCAAAAAGCATTTTGGTTATGAATGATGAGAAATTGTGAAGGTTCATGGCAAAATGAAAAATACAAAGATACATAGGCAAATTCCTGTATTTCACTTGATAAAAGAAAATCGTTTGGATACCAACTCTTTTTGGCATACAATTTTATAAATTTACAGTAAATATCTGTACAAGATGTGAGAAAATGAACAATGGTTAATACTAAGTTCTTGACACCAAAATGTACTGAAATCTTTATAATAGAAATAAAATGAACTATAACTAGACACCTAAAAACTAATTAAATATTAAAGAAGAGAAGCAGTAGACGTAAGAGAACAGAAGAGATAAGAATAGTAGAAAGTGGGTACTCGAATGTAACGATCTTGGGGGATAATGATTCCTGGTCCTTTTTCTTGGGAAAGATGGATGATTTCTGATTTCCACTTATGGAAGATACCACAGCAAATTAAGTCTTTATATTTCTTTTTATAAGTTTGGTAGACAAACTTATAAAAACTTGCTTTTGATTCTTACTTGGGCCTCCTTTCGACTCCAGTCACTGCTAAAATGACCTAGAGCACACTCTTTGCATGTCCTATCCATTGGATGTTTCAGCCAAGAATGTCCATTGTCTTTCCAACTTAGCCCTCTGGGCTTCCTTCGTTTCTTTTGTTCAAAGGATTAGTCATCACCACCCAGGAAGAAAGAGTTAAGAAAGAGCATTCTGGAAAGGATAGACAATGAAACAAAGAAGAAAGAGAGGAAACTATACAAAATTAAAAATAAAATATGGTGTATTGCCACAAAATAAGAGAATAATGATTAAATATTATAAACTGAAACAAAATAATTCGTTTTTATTTTATACACTGATAAACAGATAACAAAAATGAGAATTAAATAAATAAAGATAAAATGAATTAGAATAATAGTAGAGAATAAAAGTATAGGTATGCGAATGGGCTATTGGAAATATTATTATTAATGTTTATGATTTCATTAAGTTCTTTTAATTTTTAATGCTTTATTTGTAAATATTTTTACTACTTTAGATTAGTAATCATTTGATATGGAGACAATTTATGAAAAAGGAAATTCAACTAAATGTTAATATGTTATTTGTATTTATTGTGTATCTGGAAACCTACACAACAGAGTTGAAGATGAAGAAGCTACTTTTCCTTAGCCTAACTAAAGTTTTACTGATTTGCAACTTTTATTTGGAGATTCACTAAAGATTATAAAAGAAATTTAAAGATCATATTACAAAAAGAAATTTTTAAGTATCCAACTAATTGATTAGAATGTTTTATTGTAGATATTATTTATTTATTTCTTCATTAGATTTTATATAAAACTTATATAAAATAAGATATGAATTCATATTTTATTTATATAATAATAGTTTCTTAAAATATTAAATTGTAATAAAATATAAATTACTATATTAGAAAATTTAATTAACTTTTTTTCAGAGGTTATATCCATTATACAGAAATGTATGATATGTTACGGAATATTGATCCGCCTCTGGGTTTTGGAAATAAATGTCCATACAGACTAGCTTACAAGGTAATTATTATATATATATTATTTTATCATCAAATAATTATTCAGTTTATTCATTATACATATACGTGTGTGTGTGTATACACACATATATACTGTGACTTCCTGCATATAACTTGTGATTATCTGTGTTGGAAATTACAATATACTGTATATCCGTGCAAATAAGATGATCTTCAAAGGTATAAATTTTTGTCAAAGTTTTATAGTTTTAGCATATATCTTTCCTATAAGATGACCCCCAAACTATCAATGGCCTATGAATTTAGTTTAGATCAGCGATTATCATCTGGATAATAATACTGTATAGCATATACAGAATTATGCCCTATTCGTAATTTTTCAGATGAATGAATTTTATTATCTTTCATCTGGCAGCACTGTCTTGTGATTCTTGCAAACATTCGCACTGATTCGGGCATTCGGGTAATGACCTTGACTATTGACAAAATAAATTATTTTTTGCCTATATACTTTATGAAAAGTTTCTTAAAAATAATGCCTAATAGGCTATAACTCAAGATATATTCAGGTACAGATACAATATTTTACATGAAAATACTTGATATATCGGTAACAAAAGAACCTACTCAAAGTAGTTTTCTACTGTCTGGAAAGATGTTTTTCTATCACTCAATCTAAGCCATGAGGCCATCTTGGAAAAATTGAAGAAGTTGGTGTCTGACCCAGCGTTAAACAGTGTCCTTCACAGCTTCTATATCAGAGAAATGCCTATCATTTAGACTGTTCTTCAGTGGGCTTAACACAGATGAAAGTTTAAAAGGCCAAATATGGACTGTATGGAGGGTTTTCATTGTGTAGCATTGTGGCCTACAAGCCAGTGGTTATTATTATTATTTTAATTTAGAAAATTGTAAAATTTCTTTTCTTTATCTATTTTTTTTTTTTTTTTTTTTTTTTTTTTTTTTTTTTTTTTTTTTTTAATTTAAAAAATTTTAAAATTTTTTTTTTTTTTTTTTTTTTTTTTTTTTTTTTTTTTTTGTTTCCTGCCTTAATGCTTGGAAATTCCAATGGAGTCTGGCTGGAGGAAAAACTTTTCCTCCAGCCAGATTGGTCTAATTAGTCCTATGCTGTGGGGGGAGAAATAGGAATGTTGTATAAAGAGGTTGGAAAGGAGGAGAATTAGGATTTTCAGTGGTTGAAAGGAGTGTGGAAGAAAACTGGAAGAAAGTGGGACAGTTTACAATAACAAAGAGCAAACAAGATCTGGGTTAAATTTTTGGAAGGGGATATATTCCAGGAGAAATTTCTGGAAGGAAGAGCTGAGAAAAATAGTCTATTATATTCATATGTTCCTTTATCCTAGAAGGGTTCCAACACCATTATGAGACTGATGTGAAGTTATGCATGAAAGTTATGAAGTTATGATTCTGATGTATAATAGGCAGTCACTTAAAATCTGAAATGTCAGCAAGACAATTACACAATATCGTGAAGTGTACAATGGAGCAGAGCTCGGGTAATACAACAAGAGTTTCCTTATAACTAATTCTTAAAAACTAACTTATGCTAAGGGGAAAAAGAGATCAGAGAGTATAGGCAAGAAATAACAAAATAGCTGATAGAAGAGAATAGAATATCTGGGATGTACGAATGTTATTTTGTGAAGGTCACTTAGAACTTTCTTAGACTCACTTAGTACTTAGTGTTGTCGAATATCTGAGAGACAAGTGAAACTAAACTGGAGTAAGAAAAGTTTATGAACTTGTTGGAGTAACTGCATAGTAAAGCTCAGATATAGAAAAAAAGGAAAATAGAAGCACAGTCTTCTTCATACTCACTCCATGTAACATTTCCTTCATTGTTCTTGTGATTCCACTTAGTGGCCCTCACCACCTAAGGAAATAGATTAAGATTAGAAGGTTCTAGAAGTAAGAAAGAACAAAGGAGAAATGCTAACAACTACAAACTGTACTAAAATTATACAATGGTGTACAGTCACACTGGATTAACTCAAAACAGCAATAAACATATCTACCAAAAAGGCTTAACATTAAACCTTTCTGAATCAATTAAGTCTTTTTGGTAGATGTGTTTATTGCTACATTTGAATATATTGTGGTGTATCCCACCATGTATATATATGTTTTGTTTACTGATATTCTATGCTATCTGTAATTTCCTCTTCTACGTAAAAAACCTGCACTATTTTTCCTTGTTTGACTCTTCTGACCTATATACACTTTCTGGCTAGTTTTGGGCTGAAAAGGGAGCAAAAACTGACAAGGCAGCATAGGAAGACTTTGCTTTCTTATTCATTCTGAGAGAAGCAAGCAAGGGGAGAACCACGTGAGGAGAGAAGGGAACGAGTCCGTGCGGTCAGGGAGTACGTTGGAATATTGCCCAATTCGTCATACAGATAAGGGGGATTTCCTTCTAACATAACCTTTCTATACTTTTTTTCTAACCTAGATTATATTAATTTTTATTTTAAGTTAAGTTAGTTATAATTAGTATTATAATACGGTTCTAATGGATTGTGTACTGGTCAGCTTCGGGATCCGCATGTGTAACCGGATATACGAGCTTTGTGAACGAGAGAAAAAGAGGAACGGTTTATTATTATGGACGGTTTCGAGATCATGTATTTTAAATAATTTGGAGATTAACTGTAAATAAATAATTTCCTCCATCTTTAATTGAAATTTGTGTTAATACGTGGTGTAATTTTGTATAATACGGTTTTCATTAACCCGTCATACCACAATATTTGTAAGTGAGGAACTTTATTCTTTCTTACAGGAAAGGACATCTTCCCCAACTGACACTATTATGAGATAGGAGTGTATACATTTTACTTTTGACAGAGTGAGGTCAAGCCTTGTTATAATCTACTCATAATCTGTTATTATTTCGTCATTCTCTTAGAAATAGTGAGGTTTGTTAATATTGTTGGCAATATTTTTTGTGTCATACATTAGGATACGTGTAAAGAGTATTTTTTGTTTTGCAATGTTTCTTAAGAACAGTGTAAGCATTGTAAGATATGTTCTAGTCTGATTGCACTAAGATATTTTCAATAAGACAGTTCTATGAGCTGATGTTTATATCTGTTTGGTTTTTATTTATATGTATTATCTTATCTGTTAAAAGTACATTGACTGTACCCATTGTACTTAGTTTTCTTTCTACACAACCCACAGCATCAACATGCAGCCTATTTTTCCATGGCTGTGAAGGTTTCTAGTGATGTGTGTGGTCGTATGTTGTCACAGTATAAGATAATGGATGACAAAGAGCCTAGATTTGGCATTCTTGGACTTTCACTTGTTTGATTCACTGAAGAGAAGTTTGCACAATAAGCATTTCCATGATACAAAGGCTATGAAAGACACCATTTGATACTAGGTCAGACACAAATCTTAATTTTTCCAAGATGTCTTCATGGCTTGGATTGAATAGGAGAAAAAAATAATTTGCAAACAGTAGACTACTTTGAGTAGATTCTTTTTGTTATTTTTTTAACAATATCAATAAGGATCTATTCAAAGTAATCTACTGTTTGCAAAATATTTTTTCAATTAATACAACAATAATAATAATAATTACAATATACAATAGCCCCTCATTACATTGCACTTGTTGGGAGACAAGGAGAAATGTTATATCACACTACTGGATATATCACACGAGTACTGAAAATTCTGGCTTTTACTAAACAGAATATAGATGCTATGGAATCTCTATCCTCTATTCTTTCATCAGCAAGTGTTTCTGATATAAAGTAAGCTTAGCTTTTCAATAATGAAGTTTTGTTTGTGGTTATATCATATTAATTGATGTTTACGTAAACATTAATGCTAAATAGGCATTCATGGTATCTATGTTTCTTTAACAATGACATTTAAAGACAAATACTGTTGATATAAAAACAAAATAGCAGTTGCATTTTTATTATATGATACTATATTTCACAATAAATTCATGTAATTTATGTTTTTCAATAAATATTATAAATACAGTAATTGAAATTAAAAAGTAAACATTGAACATATAATAGACCATCAGAACTTATAAAATTACAGAGTAAAAATTCTATAAAAAGCAAAATAAAGTTACTACTGTATAAAAAGTTTAGAACTTTTGGTTTAGAAATAAAAAAAACTTTTCCTTACACATTACAGGTGAATTTGAAATTTCACATAAAGGTGTGTAAATTTCAAATTCACAGGAACTTGTAAATGAGGAGACAGCACTTAAAACCAATAAATAAACAACTTTTAATATTAAAAGGAAACATAAATAATAATTTATCTGTCCACCTGTTTTGCTTACTTAGATCTTGATGAATTTATTGTTTCACCTGCAGTGGTAGTGGAGTTTCAAGGACAATTAAATGAAATACAGTATTTTATTCCTACCAAAAAGAAATTTAATGTCAACTGGTAATTTAAAATTTATTGACTCAAGTGCTTTTAAAATTTGAGTGACAAAAGAAAGCATGATAAAATGAGGAGCTATTATTATTATTATTATTATTATTGTATTAATTGAAAAAAATATTTTGAAAACAGTTGATTACTTTGAGTAAGTCTCTTGATATTGTTGAAAAAATAATAAAAGAGCAAAAAGAACTTACTCAATAATAATAACAACAACTCCTCTCATGTAGTCACCACCTAGTTGTGGTGGGAGAGCCAGTAATTTCACTGCTCCATAGAGCAATGCAGGCTGGAGCACAAGCTCCTGGTGGGGACATCCATGTCAATAATATCTATGGGGAGAAATAAAGCTAAGAGTGACCACACCCACATTCTGTGGAGATATTTATCATGGTAGTAACCAAGTCTAAGTGTGATACCAGCTTGGATGTCATCTGGGTGCATTCATGGGTTAGGCGGAGACTCGAGTTCAAAAAATAGGCCACAGTCTTTTTTGGCTACCAGTGGCAAAACCAGTGCTGGCCCAAGCTTGGCTACTGCTATGCTCTGAACAGTTGTGATAAACCAACCTAGTCCTGGGCTTGGCAGATCACAAAGGCTGGAAAGCCATGCCAATGGATGAAATGGACAATGAAATGAATGAGTTTATCATTCATACTTACTACACCATTACAAGACTTGAAACAAACATGACAGCATACATACAACAATTACACCAAAGATTCACACAACAATATGCTCACCTCACTGTCAATAAACAAAGGGTTATTGATCAAAAAAGAACAATTATACACAACAACTTTATCCTACAAACAACACTTGAATTTATCAAACAACAAGTTGGTGATCAACTACATCAATAGACACTTGTAGCTGACGGGCGAAAGACCAGATGCACTAAGTGGTATTACCTGGCTTGAAAATAAAGAAAAGAAGACAGAATGTGAAGGCAAAGGTGAAAAGACAGAAAATAGATAGGGACGGAAAAAGGGATGCATAGGGTGTCTTCATTGGATTTATTAAATCAAAGTAAAAATACAAAGAATACAGAAATAAATTAACAAACAATACAATAGTAAACTTGAAAATGTACCAAATGCACACACTCACTACACTTTGTAGAAATGACATAGGTAGTACAGTCAACCCCCCTATAACACGGTAGATACGTTCCATTCTTTATGAATCCATTTTGTACGAGTCCTTGCCAATCACAGCCCGACACGTGTGAAGTTTACGGACTACGGCTGTTTGAAAGGTTTTCTTCCATAAAATTAATCGATTCTAGACTAATTTGACTCAACATTTCCAAAATATGTATAATTTTTTTGGGAATAATCCGTATAAACTATGCTATAAACAAAAAATTGTACGATCACTTATCAAATGTGCACCATTCGACGTCGCCATTGCTCAAGCTTGTTTTCGTCGCGAAGCAGCGCACCAAACGGCGGGCGATTTCTGATAAGTTATTTTTTTGCAAAAACTTTGTTGAACTTTGGAGACATCATTAATATAAATAATTTTTATGGCCGCTGAATAAGAAATGTTTCTTTCACAAGAAATGTATAAAATTACAGTACTGTATTAGACTTAAGGTACCTAATTTACATACTGTACAGACGATAGTAAACTCAATTTACTCGCCTAAATTCTCCGTAGCGTGGCGATGGACTGCGGAAAGTAGTTCGGCTGCCTGATGACGTTTTACCGAATTATAGGAATATTTTTACCAGGGTTGTACGGATACCGTCAGAATTTTTTTGCAGTTTTATAGGAATCATAATTATAGGAACCCATGTTATAGGGGGGTCTACTGTATATACATTTGTGATCAGTTGTTGAAGTAAAGTTTACACTACACAAATGCACTCACTGTTGTGATGATTGATGGTCAGATTCCAACACTCCAGTTGAAGCAAGGAAGTCCATGAGACTTTTAAAAAAGTTTTTGATCCATGACAAAGTTGTCCATTTCACATGACCAGTTGAATCCTTAGAAGTGTTTCTCATTTATGTGTGAAGTTATCACAACAGACAGAAATATTTAACATTAATGAAGATCATGTAACCTGCCAGGATAATCCAGCAACAAGCCTGATAATAGCACACATACAACAACTAATGATACTACAGCACTTCCTAATCCATCACTGATAATATAGACATAGAATTAGTTAATGCGCTCTCACTTACATTTCAGGAAACACTCACTAAGTATACTGGTACAGATCCCACACAAAGACCACGAATACCAAAAACCAACATGTCAAAGGAAGTAGGAAAAATATTAAATTATGTAAACACTCACTTACTACCACACTACATCCATTCAATTTCTACACTCTCAGACATTTATACATTAGTTTATGCTGGGGCAGTCACAGTAGTAACACACCATGGTCTAAAAGAACAATCACAGACAGACACACACAAAACACAATTCTATCACAAGCCTGCTTGGCAGAGAAGAATAGAAACACAAATAAATGACTTTAGACAGCAATTAGGCAGGCTGACACAATACAGTAATACCTCGACTTACACTACCCTGACTTACGCAATTTTCAAATCTCGTGGATTCGTCTTTTGTTTGAGCGCCACGTAACTCTCGATTACTCACTCCTCCCACACTTTTGTTCAGCTTACATGTTCGGACGTGTCATGCAGAATCGACACATAGCTACAATTTATTTTGTGTTATTTATTTCTGTGTTTGTTATATCTATGGAGCCTTCAGAGACTCTATGTGGTGATTTCTTGTAACCGTGAACGGATCAAAAGAAGAGATAAGATTTATTAGCTTACATACATTTGACTTTGATTTTACACGAATTGTGAAATTATACCCTGACTTACGTGGTTATCGCTCGGTCCCACCTATCGCGTAAGTTCGGGGTATCACTGTACACTAAAAACAACATAACACCCAAATTAAAGAAACAACACAAAAACATTTTCAAGAAAATCAAAACACACACAAAGCATGAACATCACAACACACAGAAAATGAGCATGAAGTATTAATGCAAAGAAAATGAATATATATACATTTTGTGTTTTTTGTACGCATAGACATCTTATGTACAGGTTTGTTTTGGCGCAGTTCTCAACTCCTTTTGTATTTGGGTAGGTGACATTGTTGATTCTAGTCACAACACGATGTGGCCCATCCCACTTTGGCTGTAATTTAGGGGAATTTCCCTTACATGCACAGGGTTATGTAACCACACTAGGGAACCCTCTTTGAAGCCTTTATTGTTTGCCTTCCGGTCAATTGGGTCTTCATCTTTTCAGACATTTGTTGACCTGATTGTTGGATGTGGTCACGTACATTATTCATCTTATGACATAAATTGTCCGCATAGTCGGTCATGCTACGTGGACTATCAGGTGGGGTACTGGTGATTAAATCTGCTGGCAATCGTAGTTTTCTTCCAAAGTTTGCAAAGGCTGGTGTCACAGATGTGCTTTCATGGACCAGATGTGCTTTCATGGACCGCGCTTCGGTATGCCAACAAAAATGGTTGAATGTGTTTGTCCCAGTCTCTTTGTCGAGTCTCTATGGCTTTTGCCAGGTACCTTTCCAACGTCTGATTAAATTGTTCCACCATCTCGTTGGATTGTGGATGATACAAGGTGGTTCTGGTTTTGTGAGTACCCATCACACGACATGTCTCTTGAAATATTTGGGACTCGAAATTCCTGCCTTGATCACTGTGAATCTCTAATGGTGTGTGGTGTGACGGGTTAATGAAAAACCGTATTATACAAGAATACACCATGTATTAACACAAATTTCAACTAAAGATGGAGGAAATTATTTATTTACAGTTATTTCCAAATTAATTTTAATACATGATCTCAAAACTGTCTGATACAAAATCGTTCCTCTTTTTCTCTGTTTAACAAAGCTCTTATATCCGGTTCCATGTGCGGGTCCCGAAGCCGACCAGTACACAATC